TATTTATACACACTCCTGGGGCCTGTTTCATAAAACAAGTTTACCAAATAAGCCAGGTTTATTTCAGTTAGTCTGACTTATTGTCAGTTGAGTCAGTTCAAAATAAATCAGACTTACTGAAATAAACCTGGCTTATTTGGTAAACTTGTTTTATGAAACAGGCCCCTGGCATGTTTGGTTATGTGTAAAAAAATATAATAAAATAAGTTACAATCATAAATAAATAAATAAAGCAAGCTTAGGGTGGAATCTGTTCATAATTGAAACTAGAAAAATGTATGGAAACTTGGATATATATATATATATATATATATATATATATCTGAGTTTACTGTATATCTCACAATGTTTTGACTCAGAATTGCAACAAAAAAGTCAGAATCATTAATTTAAAAGTCTAAAAGATTAACAGTAATTATTATTATTATTAATCCTGTGACAGAATCAAGCGTTCATATTATAAATGGATTTAAAGAATCACATCCACCAGAGATTTTTCTGGTGATTTGATGATATCGTGAAACTGACCACAGAATAAAGTTAACCAGTAGGAATGACAGCAGCAGATAAAACTGTTTTTACAAACATGATCATTTTAATTGGTTTGATTTCAATTATCAAGAGTGACTGCGGTCAAAATAGATTCCTCTAGACATAACAGCATTAATCAGCCAACAACAAACAGACGTGCCATTCCCACTGATTCATTCACTGACACGCTCGTTCAGTTTGTGTTGTGTTTAGTGCTGTTAACTCAATTTCAGCTGTAATAGATTGTGCAAGCTTGAATATATAATGATGGCGAAATCTTGAAGCTGTGCGTCCACATCACCTACACAACACCAGGAAAACAGCTGCATTACATCAGATTTGACTGGACAACTATATGTGATTAAGAAGAGATCAATCAGAGACATCAAATCGATTATTAAGCCATAATTCTTAATTTAAAAAGCCATACACTTAAAAAAGTACCATGTAGCCACAAGACATTTACGCACTTACATGTCGAAGAGCACAGGCAGCGTTTGAACAGGAGTGCATCACCTAAACCAGATCAAAATAGATAATACATTTTCTATAATGAAAAATTACATGCATTCACATTGCAAAAGGAAACAAAAAATGTTTTTTATATTTTCTAAATTAGTCGTGGGTAATATGACCAAAATCTTTTGAATAGTCTTCACTGTATGAATCAGATTTGAACTGAATCTTATTAAAGATCCAATAGAGAACAGTTAGTGATTTTGTCTTTTGTTGTTTGATTAACGTTAACGACACAGGCTGAGGCAGAGTCGTTAGGCTGCTGTCACTTTAAGACTGACTGCACAGATCCAATATACTGACAAACATCCATTTTTCACCCCCTACTGTTTTTTTTTTTTAACACTTAACCAACTGTGTTTACGTGAATACTCCACACGACTGGCATTTTGGAATAATTGTGTGTGCGTTTGACCATTCAAGCGCAATAAGATGCGAAAGAGAATTCGCGATCGCATGCTGTCTTTAGAGAGAGGCGCGTTCTGTACGCACGGTCAATGTTAGCGCATGAGCGTCGCATTGCTAAGGCTTTCCGGGTGTTTGCTTGTAGTCTCTGTGATATTCTGGATCCTTCAGTGTGATTCGATGTGATTATTGTGCTGTTTTATCACACCAGTAACAGTGATGCTCGACTTCTTTTCAAGCCGTACCTCCTTTTTCCTGCCAGAACGGAGTTGAGGTATTTCTTGGCTGCCATCTGTTTGCGGTAACGGCTGTAGTTGTCTGTGAAGACGGCATCTGAGTGACGTTTCACAGGCATCTGGTCCATGCCCAGCTCATCACTACAGCAGACAGACAGAAAAATGAACCCCACTGTTCACTCACCTCCTGCTGCCTCATTATTAAAAGTTTAATTAAATCAGCGTCACAACAGATACCGCATTACCTCGAGATACTTAGCACATTCAGTTTGCCATCCAGACTTATTTAACCTGTTAACTGTCAAATATAATCCATTTTGAAACCGACATTGTGCTTCCATGGAAATGGTATTTTAAATCCTTTTAGCAGGCTCCTCCCCCAAGTGGGCGGGGCCAAGTGTCATATTACAAAATTTACTACAATACTAATCAAGAATGTTTCTAATCTTGTCCAATTACATATCATTGGAAGGGTCTGAGTCTCAAGGTTCCATATTTGGTGGTTATTTCGTGAGAAGAGTAATATTGTGTTGAAACCACAAGCAGTTCTGTCTTAGCCAGGTTGAGTTGAAGGTGATGGTCCATCATCCAACAAGAAATGTCTGTTAGACATGCTGAGATGCGAGCAGCTATCGTCGGATCATCAGGATGGAATGAGAGGTAGAGTTGAGTGTCATCAGCATAGCAGTGATATGAAAAGCCATGTTTCTGAATGACAGAACCTAGTGATGCCATGTAGATATTATAATTTTTTATTTTATAATTTTTATTTTTTTTTAATCACAGCTTCTTCTTTTATTAAATCTTGACAAATCATGTATCATTGGAAAGGTCTGAGTTTCAAGGTTACATATTTGGTGGTTATTTCATGATAAAAGTAAAATTGAGACGACAATTTGTAAATTTGTGACTGGAAAATATGTTCAGTGGAGTTTGGGTTGGTATAGCTCCTAAACAAAATCGCACAGGAGCCTCAATTTTTGTAATAACAACTTCAAATTTGGAACGTAATTTATTTAGACATGTGGCTTTTATTTCCCTATCACATATTTTAGTAATCAACATAAATTAGGTATCATTCGAAAGCTTAAACACTCAAAATTCATCATATGAAGCCATTTTGAAATTTGAAATTGCAATACCAAGAAAATGGTACTTTAAATCATTTTAGTGGGCGGTGTCAAGTGTCATATTACAAAATTGACTACAATTATTTCTTTCTTAATCAAAACTTTTCCTAAACTTGACAAAACACATATCGTTGGAAAGGTCGGAGTCTCAAGGTTATTTTGTGATAACAGTAATATTGTGATAAAATGGAGACAGGAATATACGTTCAGTGGAGTTTGGGTGGCTATTTTTTGTGCAACGCCTAAAAAGAATCTCATAGGAACCTCAATTTTTGTAATGTCAACTTCAAATTTAGAACATTATTTATTTAGATATATTGAGTTTATGTTGAGATATATGAGGCATATTGAGATTGTTTTTTTTTTTTAGCAATTTTAGATTCTAATTATTATTTGATGTAAAATAAAAACAGTACAGTACTTTACTTAAGCCATCTACTGTATGGCCATGCTTACCTGACTCTCTTTGCAAGTAAAGACTCCAGATATTCTTTAGCAGACAGTTGGCCGAGCAGTTTGCTGTATCCGCTCGTGAACAGTCCATCAGCGTGTCTGGATGGTCTAAAAGGAATACAGATGAAAAAACACTTTTTATTTTATTGTAAGATGGTCTTCAGTGCTTTCTCATAAACTCAAAGTTGTTTGTCTCCACAAAAGATCTTCCTCATCATCACATTTACAGCTGTAGTCTTTCCTCTGGAAATGGATCTATAATATTTTTTATGAGAGAGTAAATGGAAGCTGTTGCTAATGTCATGGTGTTGCTTTCACGAACCTCTCGACGGTGTTTGCGAGTTCATACAGGAGTTTATACGCCTCCAGATCCTGTAGTGACGAGTCTCTCGTCCAGTCGATGTCTCCGTCTTCATCGAGAGCACCTGGTCTGGAAAGAATTAAGATGCAAATTACAAACTATGTCCGTCATGCAAATAAGTTTTGTTGAATTTGTTGCAGTCATTTTTACAAGTATATTAAACTTTTGCATATTTATTTTTTTGTATAATTTATGAATGAATTTCAGAAATCAAAATGAAATCAAAAAAAGGAAGTCTGTATACCAACCGATATATGTATATGTGTGTGTAAACTGTGAATTTACACTGAGTTAACTACAATAATGCAAATTTTGGATTTTACAATACAAAATGAACCAATAATGACATAAAATATTTTTCATTTAAATCATAGAATATATATATATATGTCTCACCTGATGTCAGGATATGCAGAGATGGCAGGCAGTGCAAGAGTCCTGCAGCAGAAGACGCCACAGATGGCCATCAGGAGGAGCGTCTGACAGCTGCTCAGTGAAATCATGGCTTTCTGCAGACATTTAAACCAGGTCAGAACAAACATCTGCATTAGACTGAATATTCAGAATGATTTGGCTTTTCTTTTGATAGCAATTTACCTGTTTGTGCGTATCTGGCACTTGATAATTAACAGCAATTTGAGCTTTTTTTTAGATTTTAGATTAAAATGACATGAAAAATAAAATTTTAAATCTATCTTTGTTGCTGTAATTAGTTGTTGTTTTAAGCTTTTTTTCAGTTTATTTTAATGATTAACAAATGCATTTATAAAAGTACACATCTAATGTAGTTTCCCAATTAACATTTTACTTTAATAAATCATCATAAATTTGAAAGGTGAAATTTGTAAATGAAGTAACCAACTACCTATGCATGTTTTTAGAAGTTTTGTTTAAACAATGTATATTATATAATCATTAAAAATGCATTTATAAATTGTTAAAATATCCCATGTACTTTCCCAATTAACAGAAGCACAAAAAAACGTTTTATTTTAATAAATGCACATACATTTTAAATGTGAAATTTGTAAATAAAGCACTCAACTACCCATAAATATTTTTAAAACTTTGCATTTTTCTAAACAATATAAATGATATAATGATTAACAAATGCATTTGTAAAATGTAAATTAAATAAAATGTAGTTTCCCATTTAACATAAGATCATAAAACATTTTATTTTAATAGATGTACATACATTTCAAATATTTAGTTTAAAAAAGTAAATAAAGTACCCAAATACCAATAAATGTTTTTAAAAATTAGCATTTTTCTACCAATATATATATTATATAATGAATAACAAATGCATTTATAAAAGTAAAAATATCCCATGTAGTTTCCGAATTAACAGCTCAAAAACATTTTATTTTAATAAACGCAAAAAAATAAAATAAATAAAATACAAATATAATAAATAAATAAATGCACATAACTTTGAAATGTGACATTTTTCTAACAATATAAATTGCATTAATAAATGCACATAAATTTGAAATGTTTAGTTTTTAAAAAATAAACTACAAACAAATGTTTTTGCAACTTTGCATTTTTCTAACAATATATATTATATATGACCCTGGAGCACAGAAGCAGTGTTGAGTCGCTGGGGGATATTTGTAGCAATTGCCAACAATACATTGTATTGGTCAAAATTATAGATTTTTTTTTCTGCCAAAAATCATTAGGATATTAAATAAAGATCATGTTCTATGAAGATATTTAGTAAATTTCTTACTGTAAATATATCAAAACGCTATGCTGTTCCATATGTTTGTAGTGTGTTGCTATGCTGTTCCATATGTTTGTAGTGTGTTGCTATGTTGTTCCAAATGTTCACAGTGTGTGTGTGTGTGTGTGTGTTGCTATGGTGTTGCATATGTTTGTAGTGTGTTGCTATGCTGCTGCATATGTTTGTAGTGTGTTGCTATGCTGTTCCGTATGTTTGTAGTTTGTTGCTATGCTTTTCCATATGTTTTTAGTGTGTTGCTATGGTGTTGCATATGTTTGTAGTGTGTTGCTATGCTGTTCCATATGTTTGTAATGTGTTGCTATAATGTTGTGTATGTTTGAAGTGTTTTGCTATGCTGTTCCATATGTTTGTAATGTGTTGCTATGCTGTTGCGTATGTTTGTAGTGTGTTGCTATGGTGTTGCATATGTTTGTAGTGTGTT